CTGAGCTTAAACATAACAGAGGTTTATCCAAGTTATTGTCCAGAAATCTTAAATCAGAAATCTGCTTAAATTGATGAGGCACTGGAGCGGATTGGGTAACGTCAGGCCTTTACTGCCCTTTTCTCCTAGGATGGGATGAGGCACTGGAGCGGATTGGGTAACGCTTTACTGCCCTTTTCTCCTAGGATGGGATGAGGCACTGGAGCGGATTGGGTAACGCTTTACTGCCCTTTTCTCCTAGTATGGGATGAGGCACTGGAGCGGGTTGGGTAACGTCAGGCCTTTACTGCCCGTACCAAACATGCTTCATTATGAGGAAAATTATTCTAAAGCTGAAATCAGACCAATATGCCGTCCTTGCAATATCTGACTCTCAGAATTTCCCAGCTTACTCCTAAATTCCTGCCCATGCTCTCAACCATTCTGACAACCTTTGGATGTTAAAAGTATAAACATTCACACAAAGTAGTGTTTTTTTTTTGTTTTTTTTAGAATTGTTCATGCCTGCTTTGCTGATGCTTTCCTTTTCTTTTGAATACCTTACCGATGCCCCCTCTTAATGGCTAGATGCATTAGTGCAGTGTTTCACATTAGACTTCAGATTAGCACTTTGCCCAAACCGGCTATCTGCTGTTTCAGAGTCTCTCTTCATAAGCAATGATTTGTGAAAATAAGGATGCAGAGCATTATGGGTTAAATGGATATTCATAGCAGAGGGTTGTGAATGACCATCTTTGCCCTGCTGACCAACTATGCGGTAGCCAAGATCTCCATTCTGCCTGTAGGTCAATGGAACAGACAGCAACCTCATTCCCATTTTGAAATTCTAAGCGCAAGGCCTGCCTGAGAGCAGACTGTGGTGGAAATTCCCGTAAACTGACCTGCCAGAGCTGTTCTCATGGTTAATGTCAAACCTGTTCAGTAGTTTACTCATGGGCACTTAAGGAATGTTTTAGATAATAACTGAATGGAAAATGTGTCTTACATAATATATAGTAGAAGACACCCTGTCCACCAGGAAAGCCCAACCACATATGCAACAATCGGGGAACATCCACAGCCCCCCATTCCACAGAACATCAATCCCAAGAATCAGGGAACCTCCACAATCCCCCATTCAACAGAACTTCAATCCCAACAATCAGGGAACCTCCACAATCCCCCATTCAACAGAACTTCAATCCCAACAATCAGGGAACCTCCACAATCCCCCATTCCACAGAAAATCAATCCCAACAATCAGGGCACCTCCACAATCCCCTATCCCATGTTACATCAAACCTTACAATTAGGGAATCTGCACAATCCCCTATCTGTCTATCCCAACAATCAATCACTACAATCAGTACAATCATTAAGGGCCAACTTATACTGAAACTACCAAAAAGAACTGAATTCACTTAATTTCTCTACCATAAATTCCAATCAGATGCAGTTAATTATTCTGGTCTTCTTATAATCACACATATTTATTATTGTAGCTGGACTGCCGGTTGCTTTAACTGACTGTGAATCAGGTGAATGCTACACTACCCACATCTGTTAAGCCTCATGTCTCAGACTCATGTCTCAGACTCATGTCTCAGACTCATGTCTCAGACTCATGTCTCAGACTCATGTCTCAGACTCATGTCTCAGACTCATGTCTGCCCTTAAGATTCCCCTCCAGGTCTTCAGGTCTGCTTCACATCAGAGGCAGAGATATTAAAACAAAAACAAAGCCAGACCCACAGAATGAACCATGAATTTGTCAGAAGTGTATTATATATACTGAGTAAGTTTTGGTTCTAGATCCAAAAGTACATAGGCCACACCTCCTCCTGCCAAGGTTCACAGTCGCTCCATTCCTTTGTCTCCATCCATCTGCATCCATTGTGCATGTGTGTGTGCGCTTGCGTGCATGCATGCCTGCCTGTGTGTGCACGTATGTGTGTGTATGGTGTGTGTGCACGTGTGTGTGTGTATGTGTGTGTGTGCGCATGCGAGCGGGTTGACCCACACAATGCCCCCATAACGTGATAAATATCCGTTTTTTTCCCTTATGGGGACCGGTTTCCTGGTCCCCATAAGGGAAAACTCTATTTTATAAAAATCGGTGACTGCTATGAAAAAACTAAAAATGCAAAAACTCTTGTATTCTGTTAGGTTACTTATGGTTATGGTTAGGGCAGGGCAAGGGTTAAGGTTGTCATAGTTAGCGTTAGCATTTTTCCCATTGAAACGAATGAGCGGTCCCCATAAGGATATCCCTACATGTGCGTACGTGTGTGTGTGCGCGCGTGTGTGTGTGTGTGTGTGTGTGCGCGCGTGGCCCGGCAGTGGACTGGAGTAGCCCCGGCTCTGCTGTCCTGCCTGTGCTTGGCTCCAGGCCCCACATGACCCTGCAAAAGAGAAGCTGTTGGAAGACGGATAGATGGATATGGGAAACTATTTTTCTTTATTGATACAATCTGCTTTGTTTTACTACACGCTTCAGTGTAAATAAACTGAGGCTGGGGGGGCTGCTTACCCATAATCCTTCCAGAAAAGAAAAAAAAAATAGAAAGAAAGATAAACACGCAAACAAGAAAATGGGAGCAAAAACTGAGGGGAAAATCCTGTCACAAGACAGCAGCTGCTGAAAATGCAGCAAAGGTCAGACCATTTTCATATAACATGACAGGATGCTCCCATCTAGGTAACACATGCCACATATACCGGCCAAAATAGTGTAATCTTACTGATACGCTCATGAGATTATCAAATTTAAAACTGATGTTGCCATCACATATTAAAAGAAAAAACTATTTTGCAGAAGGACACAGGAGAAATGACCATGCAGCTTTTCAGAGAGCTATTTACGCTGTTTAAACATAAACCAGATGTTCTGTCAAATGCCCTTTCAATGAACACAATGCCACTTAATTTTGATTAATTGTTTGCACGGCAGCTGTTGTCAAAAACGGAGTTTATTAACTTGTCATTTAGCACTTTGAGTGGAAATGAAGAGAGATGCTGGGCCTCTGGACTGAATGGGGAGGCGAGACCTGATTCAAGGTCAAACATCCGGAAGACGAGGCCTGATTCAAGGTCAAACATCCGGACAGGGGAGGGAACAGTCACATCTCAGCCATTTTGTAGTGCTGCAACCTGATCTTCAGATAGCTACGTTTTGTAAGCTGCACCTTCAATAAAATATGAACCAACGTGGCACGAATGAGCATGAAGACCTTATTAGCAGGGCTGATTCTAAAGTGGGACGCATAAGAGAGGCTAGCTTTATCATCAGCCAATGGTAAGCCTTGAATCGGTGAGTGACAGGGGAGAGATCCTACTAGGCTAATTAGCCCCGCCTCTGTATCCGTCCCTGCTTATTAGCTAAATAATGGCTAGTGATGTGTGTAAGTGCAGCACCCAGGAAAGTGTCAGTCAGAGATATATTTGCTCACTGAAACGCGAAGATGAAAGTGTGAAAAAAATCATTAATTAAAATGATGCGGGTAATGAAAATGACACCGATCCCCCCTCACACCGGCCTGCCCCCACCGCATCAGGGGCCTCAGCCAGCATCAGGCGCCTCAGCCTTGCCTTAGCAAAAATGCAGTGGTCAAACTTATTAAAATTGGCCGAACAAGCCACTGGTGCGATGCTTCAACCCCCCAGTCAGTAACTGGTGTTGCATCATTCTCCTTTGTTCCTTACTTGACTCCTAAAATCTCTAGTGGCCTGTTTGGTGGGGGGCTTAACCATGTCAGCCTAAGCCCCCCAGAGAAGTTCATCAGTCCCTGCCTGAAGGTCTCGAATTATGCCAAACCTATCAGGTATCGTTAAGCACGATCCGTGGACACAAAGCACCTTCTGAAAGAAGACAAGAAACCAGCAGAACAGCACTGGGGTGGGGTGGGGGTATCAAGCACACAAGTGTCCAACAAGGCCTATCACAAAAGGACTGAAAATAAGCTAAGACACTGGCCTGTGTGACAGTGATTTATACATGTGTGCCAGTGATTTATACATGTATGACAGTGATTTATACGTGTGACAGTGATTTATACGACAGTGATTTATACATGTGTGACAGTGATTTATACATGTATGACAGTGATTTATACATGTGTGACAGTGATTTATACATGNATTTATACATGTATGACAGTGATTTATACATGTGTGACAGTGATTTATACATGCGTGACAGTGATTTATACATGTATGACAGTGATTTATACATGCGTGCCATTTGACTCTCCACACCCCGCACTAGATTGACTTCTGCACGCAGTTTCCCAACATCCTTCCCCTGTGCTGTGAAGCCAGAGCAGCACATGGTTTGGCTGCAGAGATGCAGACTGAAAGAGCCATGTGTCTGTATCACACACCCACACCACTGCAAAGAAACAATCCTGGCAGTGCAATAAAAGGGAATGCGAGGGAGTTGGTGCATCTCAGTCAGACTTTTCAGTGTCGGGCTGTAGTGTGGCAGAGTACACCGTCACCTTCCAGGACCTTCCTCCATCAGCTGTGTAATAGAGGGACCCTTCAGGGAGGGCTGGGTATTCTTCAGCGTCGGGCTGTAGTGTGGCAGAGTACACCGTCACCTTCCGGGACCTTCCGGGGATTGGGTGTGGGCAGAAGGTTTGAGGAGCATTCTCAAAGGAATTCTGCTCTAAACAGAATAAGCTTCCAACTGATGCCATGAGTGTGACATTCTACACAAGCATCTCAGCCGTTCCCATGTTCTTCAGGAAGAAAAGCAGAGAGAGCAGAAAAGAACAGTGAAAATATATTTTATATAATGTTTGTTTTTCACACCTCTGCAGTGTCTCTGGAATCTGGCACGTTTGCTCATTAACCTACATTAACCTGCACTAACCTACACGCTCAGTCCACCTAAAATGTTAACATATTGTAAATAAACTAATTCCGTAACAGCCCAAGGAATACAGTGACAATTAAACAACTTCATACCGGTTTTAATTTTTATTAACATGTAAATTATACAACTATATGTATTACACATATATAATCCATTTTATTCTGTTTATTAATATTATTTTTATGAATATAAATCACTATGCTTTGGCAACACATGTATTTCATGCTGTTAAAGTAGTTTCAATATAAATTTGAGATGGGGGGAGAGAGGCAGAGACGGGGGGGCTGGGGGCTGTGGGCTGTGGAGAGACGCAAATTAATCAGAGCATGAAGAAAATGACAGAGAACAGTGGTATAGACACCATAAGAAAGTACAGGGGATTTGTGTGGCCACAGAAGTGGGCTTTTAAAACTCTTTATGGGGGGGTTTATGGGGCGAAAGTCTTGGAAAGGAATCCAGATGACCTACAGGGTGGAATAAGATGTAGGGACCGCCTGAGGTGTCATGGCTATTAACCCAAGACTGGGTTCATTCTCCTGAGGAGACTCACACGTCTGCACCCAATGGAGACGAGCTGGACTTTGCTCATCCGGAGTTATCTCCATCATATCACGCTTCATGCCACGCTGGCCGTCGCCCAACAGGAGCGTGAGGCCTCGAGCCTCAGAATCCACTTACTTTACTTGTAAAGTACAGATCACCACAGTGTTTACTGACATGCCCTGACGTCTCTGGTAGCAGGAGGCTAACTGGCAGGCAAGAGGCAAATATGGCATATTTAATGCACTCTGCCAGGAGCCTGTATACTCTGGCACGGCGAGATTTGTGCTGATACTGAGCTTCAGTTCTGCCTTTAATTTTACCTTCCAGAACTCATTATTCTCCAGGTCCTGTTCAGAAATTCATTTAATTTGGTTTAGTATTTGTTCCCATAACAAACACAAATGTTCGTGATTAACATGAAAGGCTTATGTAGCTGATTAAAACCTCGAAAATCCTCCCTTTAAAGTTTTACATTCGGAGGGGTGACAAAACAAACCAAACCATAAAATATGAAAAGAGCAGCCCAGCTAATGCGAGTATCTATGATATGCGGCAATAGTTACGTTTCACTTTTGATCGTTCAATTTTGAAATGATAAGCGTGTACTGTAAGCTCAGATAGTGATTAAAAACTAATAAACATGCACATGGAGCTGCCAGAGACGTAGCCATCAAATAAACACACTTGATTCCCTTGATTCCATGACTGTGTTCTTGTGTCGGACCTTTTGATTACACAACCATGGGTTGCTGAATCCTCTTTGAACAACAAAGAGTGTGGTTTTGGGTATTAACCGCAATGTGGTCACCACGTTATTGCGATCGGCACTGTTGCTAAGACGAGCCAAGCTTGGACAAAGAATAGAATCCAGCACTGATATTTATAAGTATTCAAAGAGCTATTAAAAAAGGCCTCATTAAATATTAAGCGATAAATAAGTGAACGGCACAATGGTGAAGAAAAACCTGCAGACGAGAAGCTCGATCGAAACGTGACGATCGAAACGTGACGATCGATACCAGGAGGTAATTCATGGCCCTGAGAGACACAGAGGTGCCGGATTCTTCAGGACGCCTCCAACTTAGATCTTCTGTACAGGCAACGAGTAAGAAAATCATTCCACAGACCTGCAACAGACACACAAGTGCAGCCTTAGTGAAATCCCTTCTTGGCAATGGTGCAATTAAAGTCTGACGCTCATAGTAAATGAGAAGAGTGTGTGAGGAGGGGTTGGCTTAAGCAGGGGAGAAGTTTGCAGTTTACAGTCACTATGGGCAGAGCGACTCAGAGGGCTTGTAACAGCAGCAGTGCTGTAATTAGTTTGTGGCATGCATGCATGTGTGTGTGCATATGTGCGTGCATATGTGCGTGCATGTGTGCGTGCATGTGTGGTGATGACGGCCTCACTGTGAGGAAACATGCACATGAGGAAAAGGCCTTTGGGGAATCTGAGAGGCTGACTTCAAGGTATTAGGGCAGCAACAGGAACCATCTGAGGTTTTCACATCCAGCCATTGATGATCCTGCTTTAGATTGTATTTCTAAGTGAAGTGTTGCCAGGAGTCTCCGTATCACGGCATTAACTGCCGATGAAGTTACATTAATTTAAAAATTGGCACCAAAGGTGTCCAGAATGAGGCACGTTTAGGACAGTTAATTAAAAATGGACTGAAGGGTTAAGACTGAACATGGCAAATAGCTTCTAAGTGCCGAGTGACTGATGGCTTTGCTGTGAGGGATCTGACAGACCTCCTGCGTTACTCTGAGGGATCTGACAGACCTCCTGCGTTGCTCTGAGGGATCTGACAGACCTCCTGCTTTGCTCTGAGGGATCTGACAGACCTCCTGCTTTGCTCTGAGGGATCTGACAGACCTCCTGCTTTGCTGTGAGGGATCTGACAGACCTCCTGCTTTGCTCTGAGGAATCTGACAGACCTCCTGGGCTTGGTTTTGGCCTGAACCTGTGCTTACAACCACGGGTGTAGGTAGAAATAACTGATTCTCTCTCAGAGGTCATCATGATAAAGACCATCTAAACCTGAGCAGACCATCCCCACACACTGAAGGTCAGTGTGGGATTCAAACCCAACACCCCAGTGGTCAGAGATTACAGTGCATGGGCCGCTCTTTCATGCAGTTAGATGCACTCTACCAAGCTCATGGGTCCAACAAGAGATACTTCTATGTCTCTAACAGAATCCCATGAGTCTCTCATAATGCTGTCATTGCAGACGTCTCATCTCCACTGGTTCCTACTTCTGTGGTCAGTGATTGATTACCCTACAGGTGATCGTGTAGGAAGTCGACCGAGGCATTTGTGACAGCGTTGTAATTACTAGCATCCACCACCAGCTTCTGACTGTCAACATGAAGCATTGAGCGTGGACTGCAACTACAGGCTGAAGGGGGGGATCATTCGTTGCCATAGCAACGAATCTACTGGAGGGAAAGGGGACAAACGTCTGCATAGCGTAACATATCAGGGGAGACTTCGGACAGCAGGAGATTAATCTGTTTCCGTTTGCCCCGGGGACCGGGACAAATCGGAGATGTGCCCCCCAGGGTCCTCCAATCTACCTCAACCTTCTCTTAACCCACCTGACCTAGCACTTTACTTAAAATGCTTCTCAGTTCATCTACACTCTTCTTGTCTTGCACTGTTCTCAGTATCTCTTACTTACACTATGTGTAAAATTCAATCATATGCATATGGATTCTGAGCTTTGCCATCTTGTTTTTCCGTATACTTGTATATGGAAAAATAACAATAAGGTTCACTTTGACTTTGACTTGATGTGGCGTCTGATTGGAAGATCGGGAAGGAGACACAGATGTAATGACACCATGTGATGTTGGAGATGTCAATGAGCGAGGAGAAGGGGCTGGATGAGGGAGCCTAAATCAGCAGAGGGGACACTTGGAGAACATCTGCAGGCTGCCGTAGGGCTTCCAGGCTGCTGCCTGGGTGTCAATTAATCCCAGAGGTGGTTAGGGCCAGCAGTGGGGAGTGTTAATAATCTAGGGTAATAGATGTACCTGGCTTTCCTGTGCTGCCATGGTGCAGTACAGCCATACCGGGTCAACCTCACCAAGGCCAGCCCCGCCAAGGTCAGCCCCGCCAAGGTCAACCCCTCCAAGGCCAACCTCACCAAGGTCAGCCCCGCCAAGGTCAGCCCCTCCAAGGCCAGCCTCACCAAGGTCAGCCCCGCCAAGGTCAGCCCTGCCAAGGCTAACCTCACCAAGGCCAGCCCCGCCAAGGCCAGCCCCGCCAAGGTCAACCCCTCCAAGGCCAACCTCACCAAGGTCAGCCCCGCCAAGGTCAGCCCCTCCAAGGCCAGCCTCACCAAGGCCAGCCCCGCCAAGGCCAGCCCCGCCAAGGTCAGCCCCGCCAAGGCTAACCTCACCAAGGCCAGCCCCGCCAAGGCCAGCCCCGCCAAGGTCAACCCCACCAAGGCCAGCCCCGCCAAGGTCAACCCCACCAAGGCCAGCCCCGCCAAGGTCAACCCCTCCAAGGAGAGCCTCACAAAGGCCAGCCTATTATAATTATAAAATACAACATGGCTCTTTTTCTGCAGGGTTATTCATCCATCATACACCAAAGGTCACCATTTGAATTTTTAGTTGGACCCCCTTTAGCTTGATTATGGCACACATTCATCACAGCGCTGTTTCCATAAGCTTATGCAGCATCTCAACATTTTTTTCATCCATATCTGCATTCATTTCTCACCAAGATCTTGTATTGATGATAGGTGAGTTGGACCACTCCGTAAAGTCTTCTTCAGCACATTTTCAAGATTTTCAATGGGGTTAAGGTCAAGACTCTGTGATGGCCAAATCACGTGTAAAAATGATTCCTTGTGCTCCTGAGCCATTCTTTCACAGTTTAACAAAGATGAACCTAGGCATCATCATCCTGGAATATGTCCATACCATTAGGGAAGAAAAAAATCCATGGACGATGGATGAAGCGGTAACTTGGCCATTCAGTAGATTCAGGTACTCAGCTGACATCACTTTATTGCTGTATAACGTAGCTGAGCTGTAATAATGATCCAGTAATTGGCTTTTAAGTATTTGCTGATTTAAATTCAAATTGTGACTTTTTTTTGGCCGGACAGTGTATTTTTAATATACCAAAAAATTCAATATTAGAAGGTATTTTCCTTAAAGCTTATTCTAATGGCAATGGTCTTCATCACCACCAGGATGCTCAGTCAGACTCTCTGGTCTGTCAGAGACTCTGTCCTAAGGCACTGCTCCTCGCAGTCACGGTGGACAACGATGCCTTTTTGGGGTCTGTGCATTTCTGCCGGTTTTACGAAAATAAAGCAAATTGAGGTAACATAATAAAGGTGAGCAAGTTTCTCTGCTATGCTTATGATTGTAAAAAATACCTAACTTTGCATTCTCTAAACGATGAGCTTTAAAGTTGGGCTTGGGTTCTGACATCCATTTGAGATCAATAGCTCAGAAACCTGGTGATGATATAAATCACTTGGCAGAATCACTGACCCAACAGAAGCGTCCAGAGTCGGTGAGATCGGAGTACGGGCTGCTTTTTGCAGCATTTATTTAATAAATGACACCTGTAGGATTTGACAGGATGGAGGACTCTAAGTGCCCAGGGCTCTCAACACTAACCAGGCCATACACATTTACTGGCAGCCCGATAAAAAACAGCATTAAGACTATCACCTTACTGTGGCTGAAAGTTTCATCAGTGCCCTAGTTTGATGACATCATTGATAAGTGAAAATAAGTTTGAGTTCTCCTATGAGTTAAGATGAATACATGTTGAGGTATGAGTGTATGATGTATTTGAAGCTTGATCTGTTGATGTGTGATAAATACAATGAATTTCTCATTCAATAAAGTTTCTCCATCCATCCATCCATCCATCACAGACACAATTTTGCCATCACTTCAAGGATTCAAGGAAATGTAAATAAAAATGTCCTACATTGGAGAGGTACCATGAGATGGTTGTAAGGGTAGAGAGGGTCATGGGCATGATGAAGGAGAGATGAGGATCAGCTGATGGCTGCGATCACTGCATTAATCAAGCAGGTGGGGGCGACAGCTGTTTATCAAACTCAAACAGGTACAGATGAGCCCCCTGCTTCATTACATCACCTGTCACGCAAGATCTGACCTGAAGACACAGATATTTAAATTCGGGGTATCTGTGATTTATCTGGGTGGGGGTGTTGGGTATTCAGAGGGGTAGGAACCAAGCAGGGATGGGGGGGGTGTTGCGTCATAATTTAATTTGGGTTCATTTGTCCCCCCCAGTAAAAAGACCCTTATATTTAAATGTTGAAGTTGGTGTGTGAGTGTGTCCTGCAATGGGTTGGAGCCCATCCTCATAGCGACCCCCCCGGGACAAGCAATTACAGGAAATGGATATATTGACTATGAAGTTGGTTGCCCTCAATATCAAACTCTCTCCTACCTTTATTTCATTAATGTGTGTGTGTGTGTGCAGGTGGGATTTGTTAGAGTGGATGGACAGTAATGAGTGTGTTTTAAGCTTGTCTGTGTAGTATAGTACAGTTTCATATGATAAGGTGCATAGAAGCATTGATTAGTTGGGTTTGATGGACATTATCCAACGGCGTTTTATCTTACATGCAAGACATGCATTGCTCAGCATGCAAATGGAAGCAGAAGCTGCATGAAGCAGCCACTTGCAGCATCCCATAATGGCCATGTTGTCCAGGTGCAAAGCCGTTAGCTGCAATGACAAAGCGATAGCGCAGCTGCTGCAACGGGCACAAGCCAGCCTGGGGTGCAGGGTGCACATATGCATGGAAGGTCATCCCACGACCCCCTCCAACCTGGGCCCGTCCCCGTCGTGCCGACCCGCACGCAGGCAGAACAATCACACGTACGAGAAGTCTTCCTCCTCTTCTTTATAGAGCAGATAGATAAAACAGGCAGTCAGGAGAGCTCCAACCAGCTGCAGGAGAGGAAGGCGAGAGAAACGGAGAACGTTAGCTCTGCAGGTATACTGAAGATGATGCGGTTCCATCAGGCCTGCTGCTGGAAGAGACAAACAGACACACGGGTAACAGATTAGACACAGACACGAACACACAGACCGAGTCGAGAACCTGATCGCCGCCGAGGAAAATCTGCAACATACAGAGATGGATCAGCTGCCAGCATCATAAATGATGAATAGGAGGGGCTGGTGGTTGGAAAGATTGAGAAACCTGAACACAGACACACAGGACACCCCCAGAAGAACCCGTCCTGTAAAGGCAGATAAGAACAGACCCACGAATGATGTGATCATTCCATCTGGAGTAAATGTCATTGTTTTCACTTTTCATAATATTGGCATTCATTAAAAGACAACTTAACTGGTTTTTTAAGTGTTCCTTGCTTGGGTGGAACTTCTGACGGCTTTTCTTCATTTTAGGTTCCTTGATGCATAGATTGAAAACTCAATTTACAGACCCAGACTTGCTGGAATTCCACGCACCGCATTTCCACACATCAGACTCAACTAACGCCTCCAGCGGTCATGTGACTCGCATGAAAAACATTTACGAGACCATAAACCGTGCTGCTGTGAAAAGCAGTGACTGCACGGCACAAACGTGTCTTTGCCGCCAAGCCCCCTCCATTATTCAGGGCTACTCAGTAGTTAAAATAAAATATATATATTAAAATTGTGCCCTTGAGTGAGAGCTGCCCTAGGAATGAAATTCTCACCACCTACACGGGCATGAGTTGGATACCCAATTAGCATCACCTGTCCAATTGCTGTGTTCTCACCCTCACGTTTGGATTTGATGGTGCCCCATGACTGTAAACCATCATAAGAGAAAAAAATTCACGGGTAAGCTATGTCTGCCCACCTATAACATGCCACTTCAAGGTGGCAGTGTATAGTGTACAGCTCTGGAAAAATTAAGAGACCACTCGATATTTTTAGAAAAATCTGCATTTTTAAATCCTGATTTAATCCTGGTTCGGCTGTCAGAAGGTTACGCTGCTTCCAGGCTGCTTCCAGGCTCAAAGTTTCTACGACAGCAGGACACAAGAACAAGGTGAAGCAGGAGACACTGGGAATGACCAGAAACCAGCCAGGCAGAGGGCAGAAGAGACTCTCGAATGCCAGAGATGACCGTCAACTTATCTGGCAGTGCCTCATAAATCAGAGGATGACATCACGTGACCTTCAATAGGAAAGGGAAACATTAAGTAGTATGAAGTGCACTGCTAGGACTTGTATCAGGCTCCTAGAAGCAGGACTGAAATTCCAGCCTTTCATTAATGATAAGCAGAAGTCAGGCTGGAGTTGGCAAAAAATGTACATAAATTGAGAAATGAGTGAAACTGAAAATTTTGCTGCAGTGTTAATTTTTTCCATATACTATATAGCATCATTTCACATTAACAGTATAAAGCTTGTGCAAAAATTTCATGGACTGGTAAAAGTGGTAAATGTGGAGGTGAGATCTTCTCTGTACGCGGTGCCGGTCCATGGACCCTTGCCTTTGGAAATCGAATCTGAATCACGATTTTGTTAGTTTACGTAGTATGTTAAGATTAATACCACCCTGAAAAACAGCTACTGATGACTGATGAGGTACTGTACGTAGTCGTGTAGTAAAATAGTGGTTTGGCCCCTCCTCCACAATGTATTAGCTACTGATGACTGATGAGGCACGTAGCCGTGTAGTAAAATAGTGGTTTGGCCCCTCCTCCACAATGCATTAGCTACTGATGACTGATGAGGCACGTAGCCGTGTAGTAAAATAGTGGTTTGGCCCCTCCTCCACAATGCATTAGCTACTGATGACTGATGAGGCACGTAGCCGTGTAGTAAAATAGTGGTTTGGCCCCTCCTCCACAATATATAGCTACTGATGACTGATGAGGCATATAGTCAGGTAGCAAACCTCCCTCAAAACTCTGGTAGGGTTGCCGGACATCCCCCAAATTTATTTTTGGATACGGACTTGGTGCAAAACAAACTCATATTTAAAATATTTTTTTTTGCTAATTAATGTTAATGTTGCAGGATACACGCTATGACATGGATCATCTGGACAGGCACCAAAGCGAGACGAGAGAACATAGCGTCAACTCCTCCCAGGAACACACAGAGAGCCCCCACAGCTTGCAGCCTCAGTTTTCCTGTGAGCGCAGCCATTCCTGCGGACGCCGTGTTCCCGCATGAAAGGTCTGCCTCCAAGCCTCCGCATCCCAACACAAAAGTGGAAACACAAGGCCCGTAGCCCGAGACGGATGGCGTTTCCGTGGTATCTGCAGGTTTAATGCGCTTTCATACTATCAGAGTATGATCCTTCAAGTGGGCAGCACCCGGGAATGGCCCCGAGACTCAGACATGCACCTAGACAGCAACGTCTTTGATAACCCGCCTGTCTGCTACTGCAGTGAGATGCTCTATCAGGGTAAAGTAGGGACCTGCCCAGGCTCGGGACACGAAAATAAGTATGATGTTTAGAAGGTAATGGCGTCAGCGACGCCGGACACGTCGATACAGTATCAAAATAAATTTAACAGATTCAAAGAAAACATTTTACTGACAATTTTGCACAAAGACATAAAGAAAGGTAGTATGGGAAATAAGAAAATTCCCCTGCATATCCTCAGAAGACAGAGTTTGGAATAAGACTGTTGCTAAAGCAGCTTTGTGAATGCATTCATACGGCATTCATAAAAATATATGAAGGTTTGCTGGTCAAGGGATCTCGTTGCCAGGGGATGCAGAAAAGGCTGGTTTCATTTGCTTGCATCTATGTACCATATTCAGCCATGCCTTCTGAGCATGTGGTGTATTATAAAATGTGCGGATTTGCTGCAGAGGTTCGCAGCCACTTTAGGCGAAGAGGTGCAGGAAGGGTTCAGCAGAGTAGGACGGGATGCGGTGACATGGGCCGGACCAGAGCGGCTTCCCGCAGGGACGGGATGCGGTGACATGGGCCGGACCAGAGCGGCTTCCCGCAGGGACGGGATGCGGTGACATGGGCCGGACCAGAGCGGCTTCCCTCAGGGACGGGATGCGGTGACATGGGCCGGACCAGAGCGGCTTCCCTCAGGGACGGGATGCGGTGACATAGGCCGGATCCCGCTAAACGGCTGTGACCTGCAGGTTCTGTCCGCATGCGGGGCCCCGTTCCGCCCCAACGGCACCCCGCGAGGTGCTGAGGTTTAATGCATTTCTAACTATACATTTTTTACCCCCTTTGACCTCCTATCCTCCCCCTGGTCCTGCAGCTTCAGTACACAAACATAGCTGACAGGATACACCAGACCCTGGACAGCAAAAACAACTGCACGTGTATCACAAAGGTCCAATTAAACGCCTCCTACAAAGAAGAAACGTGCACCTTGAGAAGGTTTTGCGTTGTCACTGCAATAAAGCATTTCCGGTTATAAATATCCTCCCCAGTTTCAAAGAGCCCGCGTTACTGGATCTCAGGGTTACTGGACCAGAATTGTTTTGTTATTCGTCAGTGTGGCAGAACACCATCTGTCTGGGAAGCTCGACACTCACTATTCAGGAAAACTCTACTTAATTTCTGCTAGTTTTCATGACGCCGTGCAGTAACACATGCAAACTGGGCTACATTTCTCAAAACAGAAGCAATTAAAGGTGCCAGCTGGTTTACTTTCTCCACAATACAGATGTTCTACAGCAGACTGCTAATACTTGTAATTCATTACATGATGTTCTATACAGTTATTTATACACCTTTGCAAATGGCTGACATTCCTGCCCCCACTGGGTAAACTGGTGAGTTTCAACTACTCCTCATATCAACTGGGAGAGAGTTGTACTGTATAACTCAGTGGGTCATGACCTTCTAGCCATTACCATAAGGTCACTGGTCCAAACCAATGGCTGGCAGAGTCACCGCTGGGCCCTTGAGCAAGGTCCTTAACCGCCAAACGCTTTCTGAATTGTATTTCATTTTGGATAAAACTGTCTGCTAAATGAATGAATTTAATGCTTTATACGTTACTAACCTTAACCCCAGACATTGAGTGATACCATGATGTGAACATAACCTGTAAACAACTAGAAACGTCATTGAATCGTGACGTCTCGACCTTCCAGGACCTGAAGGGTTACCTAGTGAAACAGAACGGTCGTAAAGAGACCCGTCACTGAGGTATAAGTGCTACAGGGGACAGAAAAGCACCTCCCCCCCCCCCTTGCCTCAGACAAAAGCTCGAGTCTCACCCAATGACATCCTGAGATTGGAAAGCCATACACATGTCTACTGGGTCATTTCATATGACAAACAATGAATGCCTGAAAATGAGATATACGTACAAGTAGGAGATCACTGCTGTTTTCGAGCATTTCACGTATGCTGACGATGGATGCCTATTAATCACCCCAGTTGGTGACAACCTGATGATGTCATTAATCCCGGTGAATCCAATTTAATAAATCAGTTTTGTCTTAGCGTGAATAGGGGCTTATTAAGAGCTACAGGTGCAGCAATGTGGCAGAGACTCCGGAATGGTTTATTTTCAGTCTGCATATGCTGACAGGCACATTTAATGATGTCTGGGGACAGGATTTTCTGATTGCCTTGCCGGGTTAGGGAAATAAGGCGTCCCACTCATTAAAGTTCTTAAACTTCAATTAAGGGGCTAATTGTCTAATCCAGGGGGAGCAGAATTAATGAAGCAGCTCGGTGCCCATCTGGATGAGACTGATATATGCTAATAGACAGGGAGCAATGGGCATGCAGTAGAGAGACAAGGGGGGGCTGGGGAAGGAAGGGGCGCAGGAGATGGGGGTACTGGGGAGAGGGGGGGCCAGGAGAGATTCGGACACCAGGGAGATGGGATCACCTGGCAGGTCGGCATGTAGGAGACATGGGGTCACTGAGGAGATGAGCGTGCAGGAGATACAGGATCACTGTGGAGATGAGGCATGAGGGAGAAACGGAGTCACCAGAGAGATGGGCGTGCAAGATAGATGAGGGAGAGATGGGGTCACTGGGGAAATAGGTAAGGGGGGCAGGACAAGGTCACCGGGGAGAGACAGGCGTGAGGGAGAGATGGGGTGAAAGGAGAGGCAGGAATAAAGGGAAAACAGGAACACCGAACTTCCCTGCATGAACCCAGCAGCACGTGAAGGACAGCAGCTCCAAAGAAGACAGGGAACCTTCAGGCCTGATGGTAAAGGCTGTCTGGCTATAGACGGCAGAAATGAAACGTCCAGACATAAAGATGTTTGTGAGGGAAAAGGGCGAAGATCTGCTGCGATTACATTCTACCAGTGTGTCACCCTCCCTCTCAGGTGTCAGGGAACCGTCTTTATCTCTCCTGTTACAGGCAAACACTAGCCCTGCTTTTTGCTGCGGTTAATTATTCAGTGAGAACAATGACTATCCAGTCATCTTAACCAACTAAAGTTGATGCAGTGACGCAGGTAAATCATCTGAGCTGCTCCACACAGCCCCGTTCTACACTGCACCATTCCACACTGCACCATTCCACACTGCACCCCTCTGTGAAATTTTATATACCAGTTACTATTCTGAAGCTGACTAGCTGGGGGGATGCTGATTAACTTATCACTGGAAAAAAATATGTGCCACGTGTCTTCCGGACATTCAAATCAGTTTCGTGTTTCACCCCACGCCCAGTGAGGCGAGGTTCGCTTACCCTCGTTCCCCTGGACACAGTCTGTTCAAACAGCAACACACCGAACTGATCCAGGATCGACTGTTCAATGTGAAAATAAGAAACTACACCAAATGAACGTCGAAGGGGGGAGACGCAGCAACAATTTCAAGATCAGTTACAGAGTTTATTTGCAGAATGATCAACTTCTCTGCGAGAAATGAAAGGTCAGTCTAGGAGTCATTCTGGGTCAGAACAACCGGGACCAGAGTTTACATTCACGGTTGGTGTGGTTCATCAGAGCTTTGGTCCAAATAGACTTGGCCAGATTGGAAACATATGGGGAGGGACAGCCTTAAATAAGCAAAACAAACAGGCATATCAGGGCACTGGTATGTCTCCCGGTGACACTGGTGACTGTTTTGTCAGCTGGTCTGTGGGACGCCGCTCCGGATTTGGGGAAGCTCCCTCCATCTGCCGTGCATGGGACGCATCTTTGTTTAATTAAAAAGTAATTACAGGGGCTCGTTATGTGATCGAATTTAATACGATTTCACGTAATGCTGTGAGGTCACATTTAAGGAAGCACTGCATTATTAACATTGTGAGCGGGAAGGCAGGTAAGGTTATTAACTATTAACGCTGTAACTCAACATGATTCGGCGACAGCAACGCTCCGAAGAGTCTTGCGAATCCTTCTGGTAGGAGAGACCGGGGGCAGCTGCTGAATGAGATCTGGTATCTATTGGTTAATCTGTGAGCTTTTATTGTGAGGCCTTTAATAAGTGTTACAGTTGTTGTTCGCAGCCAGCAGAAGTAGAGGAACGTACGACTGGGTTAGTCATTGAAGTGTGTTAAAAGTCAACAATCAGTGTTTAACAACTGACCCCATTTGACAATTTTCTCCAGTCTCTCCTAATTTTTAAGATTATAATAAATGTAGATGGGGAGGGATTTGTAATAGATACTGTAGGCTGTGTATGTTCCTTAAAGGGGAGGGGTCCTTGCTAAGGGCTCATGGGAATTTTACTTATACAAAAATGTTCTGAGGGCAGAATGAAAAATGATTGGTTCAGAGAGATAACCAATCGGATTGTAAAGGAGGTGGGTCCAAGCGCTAAAGGAAGGAGGATAAACCAATCAGATGTCTTGGTCCTGCCTCCTTTAGTTGCTTGGGCCCACCTCCACTACAATCTGATTGGTTATCTCTTGGAATCAATCATTTTTCGTTTTGCCCTCAGAACATTTTTGTGTAAGTAAAACTCCCACGAACATCTTAAGGACCCTGCTATGCTTTGTACAGGTGGGTAAGCTTACCGGCAGACAGGCCATCCCCTTTAAGCTTATGATAAATGTGGATGGGGAGGGATTTGTATTACATACAGTACTTTGCAAAAGTCTTAAACATCATTTTCTTTGCCTGCATAAGACTTTTGCACAGTACTGTAGGTTGTGTGTTCTTTAGAAGGGAGGGGTCCATCTTAAGGACTTCATGCAGGGGGAAGCTTACCTGCAGACAGGCCACCCCGACTCCTACCGCCCCAATGATCAAGAGGTGATCGGAGAGGAACCGCTCGAGCTTGGTGATGCAGCCGCCCTGGGTAGGGGGTACACA